CCGCCTTCCTTCCTTCCTGCCTTCCTTCCTTCCTTCCTTCCTTCCTTCCTTCCTTCCTTCCTTCCTTCCTTCCTTCCTTCCTTCCTTCCTTCTCCATCTGCTGTGAAGCCAAATTCCTCTCTGCCTTCCACTTTTGGCCTGAAGTTCGTGGCTTAAACTTATTTCTGCTGACTATAATCAATACTAATCAAGTTTCCACCAAACCAGCTTTGCAAATCTATTTCAAACCCAAATCCTGGCTGAGATGGGAACTCTGGATTAGCATTAATCCTGGTTAGCATCAATGGAAACCTTAACGTATGATTAAAGCCAGTGAAACATTGGAAGGGGAGAGAATTCTTGTCCAAGAAGGGAGGAAGAAGAACAGGGATAATGTCCTTTAGGACATTTTATTTATTTATATCCTCTATTGCATTCCTATTTAAAATGATACAATACAGCCAAAGTGCATTTCCCAACTTTCCTGTCACTATTTTTGGAACAACTTCTCTATCAAGGGAGAGAATTCTTCGCATCAAAAGGCCCAAGTGACCAAGCCCAGGTTATCCAGTTCGGTTTTATGGAATGGTTGTTTTTTTGGTACTGTGTTCACTCTGTTGTGTGTCTGTATTGTGTAACTTTGCTCCCAAGACCGTAGTGTAAAGTGGCATGCCAGAGCTGAACAAAAACAGGAAATCGAGGAAGAATGTGACAGGATATAAAGTGTACAGTAATGTCTTGAAACCTGGACTCAGATTCCACTAACTCCCCTATGTTAAAAACAGGATTATGTGTTCATTTAAATTCTTCATCAAACTTCAAGGATGCCCAGTTATTAAAAAAACTAAAGAAGTTACATGTCACAATCCATTTGGAAATGAAGGGATCCAGAGAGTTGTGGAGTGAGAGTTGCATCTACTCCTTATGTACTTTTATGCAAATTCTAGCTACGGGAGCATATTTCTGAAGAAGAATGTGAAATAAACTGAAACACGTAAAAGGGGGGGGGAATGGCCCATTACAAAAATTCAAAACCCAGCCCCATTATACCTTTAGTAGGGCCAACTAGAATGTCCCAAAGTTAGTAAGAAGAGAAGAAGAGAAGAGATTGGATTTATACCCCGCCCTTCACTACCCAAAGGTGCCTCAGAGCGGCTTACAAACTCCTTTCCCTTCCTCTCCCCACAACAGACACCCTGTGAGGTAGGTGGGGCTTAGAGAGCTCTTGACAGAAACTGCTCTTTTTCAAGAACAGCTCTTATCAGAACTATGGCTTGCCCAAGGCCATCCAGCCAGGTGCAAGTGGAGGAGTTCCATAGAAGTCACTGCTGGCTGCTCTAACATTTTGCCTCCTGTGGTGAAGGGACCCAGTCAGAGCACAGCCTCCTGACATTTTAAAGAACGGGAAGGGTCACGAAAGCTAGGAGTCAGTGAACAGCAGCCAGAGGGCCAAAGGAGGCCCACCATTTGCCAGTCCTCAGGGGAGCGCCACTTACAGCCCATGGAGCAGCCGTTTGTGCCTCATGGAAGGGCGAGGAGTCCGCCTCACCTGCTGCCCGGCACCCTTCCACGGAGGGATTCTAAAACAAAGTTGCTAGCCAGGCTCCCCGCCGTGCTGTGGCCATCAGAGGACGCAGGTGGACAGGCAGTCCCTGGCTGTCTCCAGCCTGCCACTTTTATGGGCTCCGTGCTGAAGTAAACAAGAGATAAAAATTGAAGCAGGGTCGAGGAGAGTCATGTTTCTCCAAATGAAGCGCATGAACTTTCCGCTTGGGTGTGGAGTCTGCTTTCTCAAGGAAATCAAGGTCTATTAGAGAGCGGCTCGGCGTACTTCCCTCACCCTGACAGTTGTGTGATTTATTTGTGCACTTCAGTTTTCTTGTCATGTTAGCTCAGATGTCCTTAGAGGAGGCAAAGCCCCTGCAGGGTCTCTCAAGAGAACAAGGTGTGGGCTAGGAGGCTGCTTTGCTCTGCATGCTACATCCTGTCCCCTCAGCTTATCTGTTTATCCCTCAGCATTTTAAGAAGCAAGAGTTTGAGCCTCTTTTCTGAGTTGTTTTGTGCTCCTGAATGAGCATTTTGAGGAGCTGGGGTTAGAAAAGGCACCACCTCCCCTACCTGTACTATGTTCAGTCACTGCGAGGGAAAGACTGCATTTGTTCCTCTTCGGTGAACAGTCAGCTACAGGGATCTGAATCAACATTTCCCCTACCCCTGTGCAAAATTCCACCATAAGATTTCTTTACCTGGTCTGGGGCCTTGGAGTTTGATGGAAGATCCACTTCAGATGGTTCCTGAATGTCTTTACACATGCAGCCTTTCCTCACTGCTAGACGGCATCATAGGTATTGTGTTTCTCAGTATTACACTGCATCATAGGTTTTGTGTTTGCAGCGAGCATTATTTATGTTATTTATTCATAAAATACCTAAACATTTATTAGGTAATGCAAGAATACAATCATGGACACGGCCTGGCTGCATCCCAACACACAAGGGACAGGGAAGAATGGATGAAAGTGAAAGTATATGGCTTATGTAACAAGCATAGACAAGTGAAGCAGTGCATTTATGGGTGAAGTGAGCAAATATGTAATTTCTCATTCTGTGGGAGTGCGAAGAGAAATCGTTGGAAGTTGGTGGAAGCAATGTGGATTCCAGGAAGATGCCTTAGATCTGCCTTAGAGGAACTCTGGATTTTGACCCGAATTCCACTAGTCGGGCTCACAGTCCTTACAGTAATCTGTCTAAAATGATAACTGAGTTCTTCAAAATGCCCATCTAGGTACATGAAATTGGGATCCCTGGTGCAGTCTGAGTATCTGCACTGGCCTCTGATTGATGCCAATCCTCCATGCCACACAACCGGGATCCCCAGTCTTTTTGAATCTGAAGGGCACTTCTAGATTTTTGAGAGGGGGTGTGGAGCATCACCCAGAAATGGCTGCTGCAGGAGGCAAAGCTGTGTGTGTTTTGGTTGGATGCAGGGTCCAGTTACTGGGAGGATAGCAGGCCTGGAAAAGGAGAGGGTGGGCTCCACTCCTGAAGACTTTTTGCAGCTGCCCAGCTCCCAGGATTCTACAACTAGAACAGGGTCCCCCGACATGGTGCCTGTGTCTCCGTGGTGCTCACCAGAACTGGCGCTGGGTGCCCAGGGCCCCTGCCCACTTCCTAGCGGACACCAGGGGAAGTACTGGCAGGCCACGTGGCGCCCACGGGCACCACGTCAGGGAACCCTGCCATGCAGCCTTCCAGCGGCGTGGCGTTTCTTCTCTCTTGCTGCCTACCCTCTTTTCTTATGCTGCTGCCGCTGCCAGAGGTGAAGGTAGAACTTGGGGTGCCTGATGTGACACTCAGTGTGTGTGCATGTTCCTGCAGGGGCCTCTCCATACCCAGGGGTGCAGATCGATGAGGACTTCTGCCGACGCCTCAAAGAAGGAACGCGGATGAGGTTGCCAGAATATTCGACTCCAGAAATGTAAGCGCTCCCCCCCTCCCCGCTGTCTCCGTCACACGGACTGTTACGTTGACCATCTGGCAGATGGAATTTATTAATCAGATCCCTCGGGGAATGTACACTTTGCTCACAGCCTCTCTGGGTATTAATGTGCTATTAAGAAAGCCCTCCATCTGTTCCTTCCTCCTCCAGAAATCCAAGGGGTGAAACGCGCCTCCCCTTCCCCAGTCCCCTCTTCCTCACTGGGCTCCTGGCTCCTTGTGGCTGCTCCTCCTAGTTGCCCTTCCCTTCTCCCGTCTTCATTAGCCCCTCCCTTGCAGGGCTGAAAGGCCTCCGGACGGCTGCTTTGCCCAGTGCCTGGCGCAACAGCAACAGCAAGGGGATTACAGCCATCATTTACCAGTCAACATTTTCTTAAAAAACCCTGGAATGTGAAAGAGTACATTGAATACAAATACAAATCACAACGACCCAGAGACTACATGAGATCAGTTATATTTAAGCATGTGCTATCACGTTGAGGAGCTGCGGTGGCTCAAGTGGTTAAGACGCTGAACTGCAGGCTGTGGAAGGTCGGTAGTTCAGCAGTTCGAGACCCGAGTGTGCCGCATGATGGAGTGAGCTCCCGTCTCTAGTTCCAGCTCCTGCCAACCTAGCAGTTCGAAAGCAAGACATTGCAAGTAGATAAATAGGTACCACTTTGGTGGGAAGGTAACAGCGTTCCGTGCGCCTTGGTGTTTAGTCATGCCAGCCACATGACCACGGAAACATCTTCGGACAGCGCTGGCTCTTCGGCTTGGAAACGGAGATGAGCACCGCAACCCTAGAGTCGGATTCGACTGGCTTTCGAGCAAGGGAACCTTTACCTTTACCTTTATCAAGTTGCAGCCAACTTATGGCGACCCCAACAAAGGGCTTTAAAGGCACGTGAGAAGCACAGCGAGTGATTAAAACAAGGGATTCACTGCCAGAGGATGTAGTGATGGACATGAGCTATTAGCCACAAGGTATAGATAGGAACTCTCAGTCTGGAGCAGGTGATGCTCTGTATTCTTGGTGCTTGGGGGGGGGGCAACAGTGGGAGGGCTCCTAGTGTCCTGGCCCCACTGCTGGACCTCCTGATTGCACCTGGTCTTTTTGGCCACTGTGTGACACAGTGTTGGACTGGATGGGCCACTGGCCTGATCCAACATTGGCTTCTTTTATGTTTTTATGTTCTTATGACAGCTTTAAAAGGAGATAAGACAGGTTCATGGAGGAGAGGTCTATCAGTGGCTACTAGCTATGTTGACTAAAGAGATCCTCCGTGTTCAGAGGGAGTCAACCTCGGAATCCCAGAGCCGGGAGGCAACATCAGGGGAAGGCCTCAGCCTTTATGTCCTGTTGCTGGAACCTCCAGAGGAAGTGGATGGCCACTGTGTGAGACAGGATGCTGGACTAGATGGACCACTGGTCTGATCCAGGAGAGCTCTTCTGATGCTCTTAAGCAGAGGTGGTTTGCCATTGCCTCTATCTGCAAAGCCTTTCTTGCTGGTCTCCCTTCCAAGTACTGACCCTGCTTAGTTTCTGTGATCCCATGAGACGAGGCTATTCCGTGCCACCTTGCCTCAGCCATGGATGGTGGTGGTTGTGTGTGTAAAATGCCATCAAGTCACAGCCACCTTATAGCGACCTCAGCAAGGGGCTTTCAAGGCCAGTGAGAAGTAGAGGGGGTTCGTTATCGCCTTCCTCTGCAGAGCCTTCACCTTGGTGGCTTCCAGTCCAAGTACCAACCCTGCTTGGCTTCCGAGATCTGACAAGATTGGGCTATACCATACCATTCCACATCCTGAGAACCATTGTATCGTTCTAACATTTCAGTAATGGAGCTGTGATTAATTCCCTCTGTTGAAGTGCAGAAGTCATTTTCCAGTGTTGTTAACTCAACCAATGGTTTGACTTTTGCAAGGGGAGAATTTAGTAACCAGCTTTTTATAGACTTTCTTTCATCCCAAAATTGCAAGACTGAAGATAGCTTAGGTTTTCCAAAATGTGGTACGTGATACTATTTCATGTCTTGGACCTCTCCTGAAGCCTGGGGGCTGTGCTCACCTTCTCCCTGTCAAACGATAATTTGTTCAGGAACCTGAATTTCAAACTGTTTGACTCTCACACTGATGGATTTATCCCAGTGTAGCCCTCATGGCTTCTGCCAAGGAATCCTTGGGACTGTAGAAACCCCCAGATTAGAAACCCCAGAGCTCTTTATGAAGAAGGAATTGCCATTACACCAACTTTCATCTGTAATACAGTTGCAGCTTTTACAATGCAGTCCTACAAACACTTTCCTGGGAATAAGCCCATTGAATAGACCAGAGTAGAATTCTGAGCAGATCTATCTAGGATTGCTAAGAGTGTGAACCTAACAGTGTTTACTCAGAAATATCTTGCACTCAGTACAGTGGGGCTTACTTCCTAGAAAGTGAGTTTTGGACTGCAGCTTAAGTCCTAAACATACTTATTAGAGATTAAATCCCATTGAGCTCAGTGGGATTTATTCCTGAGAAGATGTGTCCAGGAATGCACTGTTAGAGTTGAGCTGTTTCTCAAACCAGAGTGCGCAATGAGCACTGAATTAAAATAAACAGGTGTCTTGCGGCACCTTAAAGATGAATACATTTTTATTCTAGCATAACCTTTCATGGATTAAAGTCCACTTGTTCAGGTGCAGGAAAGTTTATGCCAGAATAAAAAGCTTATTTGTCTTTAAAGGGGCACAGCTGAAGCAGACTAACACCCCTCTGGAAGTGAATCCCAAAGGTTTTCTGTTGTAATACACAAGTCAGAACTCTGCCATGTTGATCTTTGAATAAAGTCATATCTATTGCAGGATTGATTGCTTTTAGACATTTGAAGCCCATTCAATTAAAAAAAAAGATCTAAGCTGCTCATGGCAAAAATAAAAGGACAGAAATTTCAGGTTCAGTCTGCTAGAGGGTACCAGGGTGTGTGTGGCATTTGTAGGGTCAAGAAGAACATTGAAGACAAGCATCCAGAGAGAGAGAGAGAGAGAGAGAGAGAGAGAGAGAGAGAGCAATGAAAAAAGCAGCTTGCAACCAGCTTGCAAGGGGACCTGCCTCCCAGTCCCTTCTTCCATCTCATTTATTTAGCAAACTGTTTTGCTGTCTCTCTAGGGGACCTGCCCGTCTTTATGGGCCCTTGTGTTGATAGGCAGATTGGCATCAAGGGGTGCAGAAAAGCTCTAGTCCAGGGGGTCCCCAACCTTTTTGAGACTGCCATTCCTCTAGAATTCTGACACAATCACAAGACGGCTGCCATGGGAGGTGGAGATGGAGAATTACAAAATGGCTGGAGCAGGAGGAGCACAAAATGTCAGGGAGTGAGGAAAGACATGACTCTGATAGTCACCAGGTGACACTTCAGGCAGAAGCCTTGTGGAACAAAGGCGCCTTTCAACCTGCGTGGCCAATCAGAAGCCCTTCTGGGCAGATGTCCCACCTGGCCCCTCCCACTTTCTAAAAACACTTGGCAGGTGCACGGGCGCCGTGTTGGGGACCCCTGCTCTGATGGCTTCAGGTGAGTTTCGGCAACCAAGAGCTGAGGAGCTGTCCCGGCTAGTGTGAAGCTTCTAAAATATACAAATGACACAAACGATCCACATCAGCTTAAGAACTGAGTCCTGGAGAGGCAGAACACCTGGGATGATCGAAAGTGTGTTTCCTCTTTGTTCACAGCTACCAGACCATGTTGGACTGCTGGCATGGAGTTCCGGCAGAGAGGCCCACCTTCACAGAACTGGTGGAGCGTTTGGGGGACCTCCTGCAGGCAAATGTACAACAGGTAAAGACAGAGCTTCTGCCTGTGCAGAACTTATTTCTGGGGCCCTGGGCTAGGAGACAAGGCCCAGTTACAGGAGACGAGTTTAGTACAAAAGCAATCGAGTGAAATTGGGGTTGCATGTGTGAGAGTCTCCCACTCATTCAAAGAGGATCACATTTCACAAATTCAGTTTAATCTGTCTTTAACATGGGAAAATGCCTTGTTGAATAACATTTGAAAACTTCATTTGCCCTATAGAGGAACAATGGTTCATTATTAAACAGATACTTTTAATTAGTTTTCAGTATCCCAGAGAGGGAATATCGTGCTTCTGTTTTACACTTAGTTTCATCACATACATAGGGTGCTATACAGCGTGCTAAACTCATATACAGCGTGCTAAACTCATCATTGCTTCGAGGAACGTCAAAATGAAAGGCTTTATGAGTCATGGAGTCGATGTAATTGACCGTTCCATGATAGCTTAATCAACTTTTTCTCTTCACTTTTGGAACAGATCGGTTACATAACTGTCCATATTCAGGTTTCTCCTCTCCCGCACCACTTGGCGAAACAAATCAGCGAAGCTCTGCTGAAGGAGACTTAGATTGCCATGAAGAATAATTTGTGGGGTTCCTAATATAGCCCAAGGGAGCAAAGAGAGGAAGGCAGAAAGATGATAAAGGGACAAGACAAGTGACTGCAGACTCAAGAGGACAAAGTGACAAGTGTTTCTCAGGGATAAAGCAAGGAGCTGTTCCCACTAATTATTGAGATTTACTCCTGAGAATTCATTGCTGGGGGGGGCGGGGGGCGGAGGCACTACTGGATTCTACAGCATGAATTAGAAACAAAAGAAAATGGAAAGTTGTCCAGTATCCCAGTCCGTTAACTTCACTAGGCCGTTGGGTGCCGTATCTGTCACTCGTGGTTCTTCAGCAGTGCCGGAGAGGACTGACCTGGCTGGAACTAATCACAGACCGAAGTAGAAACAAAAAACTGTGCAGGAGTTTGCACTAATAAATTTGAAATATTAATCAAAAAGATTTCATACAAAAGATTGTACAATATTTGTATAACATACCAAATACAAGTGAAGACGGTGATCTCCGGAATGTTCTGCCATTTCGACACAAGTCTTCTTCTGTTTTGAAGTTCCTCTTCCCATGTCTCCTGCCAAGGGCAATACGGGTGCTTCCACACACACTAAATAACACGCTTTCAATCCAGTTTCAATGCACTTTGCAACTGGGTTTTACTGTGTGAAACGGCAAAATCCACTTGCGAACCATTGCTGAAATCAGGGGTCATTTCGTAGAGAAAGAGGTGCAGGAGCTCATTAGCATAATTTATTAGCATAACTTATTTGCATATGACACACCCCCTGACATCACCGGAAGTGTGTCAGAAGGCAACACCCACCACTCAGGCTCCACTAGACTGTTTTGGATTGCTAGCTATTGGGGGGGGGGGGGGAGCGGGG